AAGAATAAACCAGTTTTATTAAGAAAGGACTTGTGTCGCTTAAGTTTCGTCAGAACGAAGTTACGGAAAATCAACTAACGAACGGAGACGTAACAATATGTATTTAGGACTAGCTTAAATATCCTAAGCTGGCTAAACTTCGTGAAATATTAGTGGAATTACGGCCACTTAAAATATCGTTAACAGCAAGGGTACCATAATGATGAAACAACACATTCTAATGTCTATATGTACGAAAGTAAGAAAAGTAAATTTAATAAACTATGTTAGATTTTTGAAAAGTCTATCACACAGGTGGACATGCAAACGGGTTATTTTTTCTTTTCTTTTTCACGAAACCCTGAACTTTACTCTTATGTTCTATGTATGAAAAAAAAATTTATGGCAAAATTCTCTGCTAGAGAGAGAATGCTTCTGAAGAAACGCAAAAAATATCCAAATAATATCAATGATCTGAATCATCTATGAGCTCAGTCCTGGTGCAAAGATCACTGAATAAATATGGAAGAAAATGGACACTAACTCGGTACTATGTAATAAGGATGTAAACATTTTATAAATGTTATGAATTTCAATATTCGAAAAGTTACAGAAAACTGAAGAAATATACTTTAATTATAAAAAATACAAATTATTGTAAAAACCGCCTGTTATTCTGTATTGTAACATTAAATTATTAATAAAACTTTGAAAATTACTTTATATAAAATTTTACAGGACAGGTAGTTTGTTTATTTTAGCGCATAGTTACACAGTAGGCTAGTGTTCATCACGGGGAATCGAGCCCCAGATTTAGGCGTTGTAAATCGTTAAGTTACCTCTGACTCACGAAGGGAGGGACTACAGGTCAGAATACAATCACATAAATCCACATATGACTTAACAGCGGAACCGTTTCATTATAAAGGAGATATTGTAAGACACAGCCAAGAAATGCATGAAGCTGACATTGTGACGTTTTGTTACAAATTTAAGATCATGCACATAAATCACGTAAATGCAAGACCACGCCTCTTACTTTTACTGTTTTAGTCTTATTAAATTTCTAAAACTTATTCAGCAGTTTCAAAACTAAGTTCACAATTATTCTGTTTAATATATAAATATTGGCTAAAAATCCAAGTTAAAATATTCAAACAAAATCTGCAATGAAAACATTAAACTGATATTACACTCGCGCAATTATTTGTCATGTCATTAAATGGTATATTTTAAGGTGTGATTCTAAATTTAATCAATCGAAGTTAACTTTTATTTCGACAGGTCCAGTTACAAAAAATCGGAGGTATACATGTTATTACAATTGAACAAACACGAAATGAGCCAGATAACTAAGTTGATGAAGTATAATACTATATTTTCTTTTGTAGAATTAACTTACCATGAATCTTATTTCGCAATCGGGGTACCATTAAGAACTTAACTAAAATTCCTGTGATCAGTCCAGCACTTATTCCAACTACTAAAGCGCCCCATAACGGAATTTTGTCAAATTTCAACACTGAAAAAAAAAAGTGAAATTCTCATAAAAATCAGTAATTCGGGATGCACTTGAAAGAGTGACTAATTATCAAAATAAATAGATTGTGCTCTAAGCAAAATAGTTATGCCAATTCTAGCATCTAAGGAAAGATATAATGATAAAGAATATTGATCACTGTACTTATGAATATTAATCGGTCGGGTATTGCAAAGTCCATCACAATTATTCATGTTAATACCAATCGTGTAGGTAACTATTTCTTTATTTCCAATGTTTTGGTGACTGTACAATTTACCATCATTTGTAACTGAAATATTATTAATAATATTGATAAGCTTCATCACATCTTACAAGAACAGTCTTCATATACTAACACAGTGAGGTGTATCCGCAGATTTGAGCCATGATGCCACATGTGACAGATTTACAGCCTATGTATATGGCTCATAGAGGATTACCAACCGCAGTGCTCTCACGGATGGACTGACGGTTGGAAATTATGTGTCACAGCCCTTTCGGAGAAAGAATATTTGTACATCAAAGTTTAAAGTAATATAGAGCCAAAGGACACAGTATTCCGAGTGAAAATCTCCAAAGTTCTCCATAAAAGCAGAAAACTCGCACAACAGAGCATTTAAGGCATAAACATGTTATGAAACCCTATGTAAGTTCAATTAAAAACAACGTCTTCATCCTGAAAAAATTCTGTAGTTGCAAAAAAAAAACTCTCTGACGCAAACATCCAATGTGATGAAGCTGAGTACATATCTTGGTGCTATTAACAAGATAACAAGTGAGGAATTAAAGTTGACGAAGGCTCGTGAGAAGAAATTCAAACTTCCAGTGACACTTCGAAATTAACCGCTGTTTTCTCGAGAAAGATGGTCGAAAAATATTAGAATCGCAGTAATCTCATTTACAAATGTACCTGTTTAGGTCTGCGATGCCTTTGGTCTACGTAAATGTGACCTTAGAAGCCAACGCTCACGTACGATGGAAGTTCGTGGAACGATTCTCAATATGTTTGGTCTAAGATTAACTTCGACGTTCTTCTTAAAATGGAAGTTATAGTATTGAGCAAAGGTGGATAGTCGTGATTTCAATATGAGCACAGTCTTCATGGAAGAAGTGGTTCAAGTATAGAATGAAACCTGAAACATCGTTATTATATAAAGTGCGATTAACGTTCAGTATACCATTTCTGTGCGTGTGATGAAGTAGGGATTTCATTTCGAAAGCTAAGACATAATGAGTGACGCCTAAGAAGTTAAAAATAAAACTCAGGGATAAGCCATAGTTTGAGAAAAGTAAAACGTACACTGACGGGAAATAGGTATCTGAATAATAATAAGGACGCTTACAACGCTTGGGATATATTATATATCAAACCGTTTTTTCTTAACTTATTTTTTTCTGAAAATTAATTAAAATTTGAATATCTTACCTACCGTTTATTGAAAAAGTAACATTCAAATATAATAGGCTATTAAAGACAGATCAATGATAGATAAAAACGTATTAAACACGACGTTCTCACAACTCAGAGCAAACAGTGAATAGCAATTCGAATAATGGATGTTGCGATCTGGAGCACTCAAATATGCTCTTAATTTGTAGTTCACATTAACGTCACATGCGAAACTAAGGTTATTCATTGTTTGATTTAACAACAAACACTCTTCACATCTGATGTGATTTGTACAATGCTCATATGAACATATTACTATTCATAAAAATACCAATTTCAGTGCAAGTTACAGTATCGAAAATAATGCAGCGATTTAGCTGTTCACCAATAATTTCAGAGTATTTGTGACATTCAGTAAATGTAATAAATTGCCTAAACTTCAAACTAAAATTATTTATCCTAACTGTTGGTATAAATGAAAAAAAAAAAGGTTTTGTTATAATTGCATATAGAATACAATAAAATAATTCATAGTAAAAGTAAAACAAGCTACAGCACTTGAAGTATATACTAAAACCATGTACTTACCGCTTGGTCCCTCATGAACCACAGAAAATACATTAACAAATATAGTAAAAGCGTAAAAGAAAGGTAATGAAATAAGTCCCGGTTCCATTTGGTCTTCCTGCAAATAAAAAATCAATATCAGAAAGAAATTGCGTTGAATCTTGTTTATATTTTTATCGTCAGAGTAGATTTAGCCAAAAACTCACGCCCTTGTGTAAAAATGGGTGTACACAATCAGTACCACTTATTTGGCAACAGACTAATGGCATTAAAATAAAATGATATTTAATGTAGAGTAATTAGAGCCAGTTTACAATTTTGTATACTTACATATAAGTCGGTGGTGCCTTACAATTACGTACATATTTCAGAAACTCTTAATTATTGTTCATATTCCAGCTGTAATTTATTCATATTTGAATCTGCGAAATTTGGTTCTTCTTCATCTTTCACTGGGATCCCTTATTGAATTTCACTTCGAAGAAACGAGTTACAATGGATATAATCTAAATTCGAGTTGTTTAATCTGTCGAGAAATCGCTTACTTACTTACGCTTGCATAAAAATTAAGTTTTGCTATGCTAGCGAGCTCCTTAAAGTTTTGTTTATGGCAAAGCTACTAAGGCTGTTTACTGTCGTCCCTGATTTGAAACTACCGATGATAGCACTCACCGACAATTTTTGGACTACTCTTTACAAATGAATAGAGGAACTGACCTTAATATTATAATGTCTGAAATGGCGAACATGTTCGGCACTAGGCTTCAATCCTGCTTCTACCAGATTGCGAGTAAAGCGCCCTAACGCTAAGCCCTCCGTATGGCCAGGTGGTTAGAGCCCTCGACTCGCAATCTGAGGGTCGCGGGTTCTAATCCTCGTCCCGCCAAACATGTTTGCACTTTCAGCCGCGTGGGCGTTATAAGTTACGGTCAATCCCACTATTCGTTGGTAAAAGAGTAGCCCGAGAGTTGGCGGTTGGTGGTGATGACTAGCTGCCTTCCCTCTAGTCTTTCACTGCTAAATTAGGGACGGCTAGTGCAGATAGCCCTCGTGTAGCTTTGCGCGAAATTCAAAAAACAAACCTATTACGTACAAGATAGTGTCACAATGGAAACGCATTCCCTAACGTTCGACTTCTTATCGCGTACGTACGACACAATACTTTTTTTTACTTTGCGGTTTAGGGCTTCC